CTCATGCATGTAACAGCCATACTGGACTGTAAAGTTGGAGATGACATAACATATAAACTGCACATTGTCATTCACATTGAGGGAATGGAAAGTGTCCATGTGCTTTATTTTGTTTATTCATCATGCCATCCAAAATATTATGCATGTCATAGGACCTTGACAAAAAACACTTGATTGGTGACAATGACGTATTCTTTAACTTTTTTTTAACCAGAAGATCTTGTCTGATTATGTTCTCCATGTTATACAATAGGCTTTAAGTGGGAATTAAAACCAAGAAGCTTCGAACAGTTGCTTGGGTAACACAGGCAGGAAGAATGTTCTCTGAAGTTTCTGCCCAGCTCTTGGGTCCCACCTTCTTTCTCTCAGGTCTGAGGCAAGTGGGACATATGCAGTGTGGTTCTCCCTCCTTATAATGAGAGCTGCTTTGGTTAGTCTTTCGCATCTGGGTTTTCATACCTATTGAATCATTATCAGTAAATTGGTTAAGTAATACACTGTCTCTGTATATCCAGAACTGTGCTAAGCCCTGTAGGACATGAAAAATGTTTATACCTTGGAACTGTGGAACTAATCAACAATTTTGTAATCTATTGGGCAGATAAGGTGGAAGATGAGGCATGCGAAATGGGACTATAATGAATAATATAGTCTTCGATGCTATCTTCTAATGAAAGAAGAAAGAGTTAGGGAAATACAATTACCAGAGGCCCTGAAAAAAATTCTAGAAAAGAGTCTATACAGTAGGAGCTTAATAAATGTGTATTGAATGAATAAATAGATGGGCAGCTAAGAATGAGAAGACAAGAATTCTAGTTATGGTCTTTACTATTATTCTATGACTTAATCTTTTTGGTCCTGTTTTCTCATTTGCAAAATGGTAAAATGATACCAATTCTAGCAACTTCCAAAATATATGATGATAATGAAATAACATAATAGATGCAAATTTACTTTTTGTAGTGGGAGAATGAAATACTATTTTAAATTGTCATTTTCAGTTTTGAACGTTTATGTCATTCAAAATGTTTAAACCACTGTTTTAAAATGTGCTACATGTGCACTAAAGGTAAACAAAAAATATGAAAATAAAAGGAGGTGGAGGCCTGCAGTGGATTCAAGCCTGTGGGCTTTTTGGGTGAGGGTGCACTTGAAGAAGTGGCAATAGCTCCCTGCATAGAGTCTGACTCCGGCTGCCTTGCTGGCTAACTCAGGGAACACTCGTGTCCGTATTGAAACTTTAGAAGTATTTAGACAATGCTTCCAGAGTCAGCAGTCCAATATCTTTTGTCCAAGAACAGTTCTTGAAATGTCATCATCAGGTGCAAAGTGGACAGAAACAATGACGACCTAATACCAACCCCTTGTTTTAATTCCTGGGAATTTAAAACATAAAGAAGACTACATTGACTACTCTTTTTTTCTATAAATAATTATATAAGTGATGTGTGAATTTTAATTATATTTTTCAAAAAGAAAAATTAGAGTGGTAAGATAAAGTTTATTGTCTTCTTTGTCCACCATTTTCAATTCTGATCTTTTTTCCTCCTTACCACGTGGGATCATTATTGTGATTCCTCACAGTAATGGGTGAGCTGGGTGTACCCTCAGCTCATTTTAAAAAGAACTTGCTTTGTTATGTCTTTAATATCCACAGAAATAGTAAACAGTATATAGTGTTCTATAATTTGTTTTTTACTCACTGATCCGTTTTGGATTTCTAGTCACTGGTAATAAAAGTATTTAGTTAATTTCCCTTAACTAGACAATGACTTATTAAAAATACATTTTAAAACCATGTCCAACTTTGTCCCCCCAACAGGCTCATTGCATTTAAGAAAACACATTTAGCATAACTCTAGGATGCATTGAATTCCATTTCCAACAGGACAGGCAGAGCCTGACGAAAAGGGTAAAGAACTACTAAAGATGCTTCGTAATCAATATCATGAAACACAATTCAAACAATGGCCTGCTTCTGAAAGCCACTGCTCAGTTGACCTGAAAATAATCTCTCTGCTGCTCCCCGCCTGTGCTCTGTTCTCTGCCCCATCGTCCCCTCCCCAGAGTCTTTGTGTGCTGAATCCAAATGAGTTGAGTCTGAGCTCTAGCTGCTCTCCCAAGAGTATTATTATTTTTCCCCCTTTAAACTTAAGGGTGCTAATTAATGTTGGAAAAGTTCTATGCCAAGTTTGCTTTGCCTGTGGTTTTCTTAGATTAAAGGCTATTGGCAACTCCAGCTCTGTCAGAAGGGCCAGTGCTGTATTCTTATCCCCTGAAGGAGGCTTCAGCTCTGCTGACTCAAGAAGACTTCAGCTTTTGATTTGAAGTTATTGGATATTGACCCATCACTCACAGCAGAGTTATGGGCCAGCTGCCCTGGATCCGGGGAACTGGGCTCTGGCTTTGCCTGCAGCATCCCCCACCCCTCCCTTTGCAGTTTCTGTTGAACTTAAGCCTGCAAATGTCAATTTCATTTTGCAAACACCAGGCAGTTGTCAGTTCTTCCAGGGAATTCAGGGAGAAGGAGCTCAAGACAATGCCTTCAGCAACATTTTACAGTATTTTACTGCAGCTTCCAACTATCTCCTCTCCTTTCCTTCCCTGCCCTGGTCTGGCCTCACTCAACCTACCACCATCTTCCCTAGCCTTGGAGCCTATCTGTGAACCAGCTTCTCATCTGGCCTCACTGCAACCAGTTTCCAACCACTCCAATGTCTGGCAGATACGTTGTGATACAATTTTAATACAAAGAAAGTTTTCATACACAGAAAAATTCGCTGTAAGAGACTTGATAAAAACAAAACCCTAGTTGAGCAAGTAATGAGATTCATTGAGTATGGTAATTCTGATAATCTTAAAATGAGGACAATCCTTTTATAAACTTAGGCTTCACAACCAGTCCATAGTTACTTCTCTTTAATTCTGATTATGGCAAAATTCCAGTTCAAAATGAGATTCCTACGTGTTCTATATCTACTGAACAGCTGAATTCAAAGATATGCCAGAAGGAATTTCATGAAAGCCAGGCACTCTTTGGGGAGAAAACTCATGTTAAGGAATGAAGGAGGCAGGCATTCTGATCTTTACCCACTAGCAAAACTTTGTGTTTGGAGTGATGCTGGGGGTCACAAGTAAAAGACTCAAAACCTGGAGTACCTAAATCTCTGTAACACAAAATGTGTAAGCAACAGCATTTGAAAGCCCACTAGCAGACTTGGCACAAGAATGGAATAGAAATCTGGAAGACTTCCTTCCCTTCCTAGTCTCCTTCTCCCTATCACCCCCAAATACTTTGGCTCTTTAAATAATCCATGTACCAGTAAAGGGACCTGGTGGGAAGTGCATTCAATGGAGGGGCAGCTGTGGAGACAATGACCTCTCAACAGTGGCAGTACCTTCTGGGAGGTACTTCTAAGACATGGCCATGATACACAGCAGAAGTGGATATTGCAGCAGGAATGATGGAACCTGGATGGAGCTGCCCGAGTGCGTAGTGGACATGGTGGGACCCAGCAGATGGGGCAACACCTTCTATGGGGGTGGGGAGGCACAGCAGAGGGAGCAGCATTGCCCAGTGTAGACAGGTACTAGAGTGAACCAAGAATCAAACACCATGTGTGGGTGTCTTCTACGGCTTGCAAAGCCACAGGAAAGGGCCATGCCACTGGCATGGCCTGATGATGTCTTTTGTGCTGTGGAGGGCTCAGTAGAAGACATTACCTAAAGGGACAGGAACAGTCATAGAGGCCAATGCTGGAAACCATGCTACCATGTGTAGTAGACACCTTTGGGGTATCCAGCTCACAATGTCTTGCTATTCCCCAAATTTTGGTCAACAATGATCCACCCCTTCTTTTACTATTGTTTAATCAGTGGTAACATGTGACCCGGGCTAGACTAACTGTCTGCATTATCCATGAATTTACAATTGGGCTCCAGAGCGTTATTTACTCTCTGCTGGTAGCTGGATCCATGTATTGCACTTTCTAAAGTTATCAGTGGTCACATGGACTGAAGAATTAAAGAGCCCCACTGCAGAGGGACTGAGCAATGGGGAGGAGACCTGGATGGGGAGCATGCCAGAGCAATTCAAGCCTTGAGCTCTGTGGTCTTCTACTGTAATCCCTCTAACTTTTATTTCACAAGGTAGATTGAGTTGACTTTTGTAATTTGCAACCATAAGAGTCTTAGATTTGGAAGATTTGAAGTCAAGAAGGGACTAGTGAAGGGTCCTCCAAATGGGGAGTAAAGCTCCCTGGACATTAGTGGGAAAGGGCTCAGGAACCAGGAACAAAGCAGAATCCCCTTAGTAGAATCAAAGACATGAAACAGAACTTTAGCTGGGAGATTGGGAACTCATGCTCAGGGAAGACTGGCAACCAGGATTGAGTGTGCTACTGGAAATGCTAGTTATTACCTTTCTCAATTCCAGATGGCCCTCGGAACTGGGGTGGGGCAGAGCATATGGGAGGGAAGGGTGGAGAGGGTCAAGAGGCCCAAGAGGCCCAAAGGCCAGCAGTGGGAGTGAGGAAGGAAGCCAAAACTAACTGGAACACCATTACCACTCGAAATGTGACATTCATTAAATATCAGTTATGTGCTTCACATGTTTATGTGCTTTTACCTAATTATGATATCAAATTTCCAAGTACATATTCATTGTACGTATTGACTAAGCCACTAGAAATTTTGTCCCAGCTCTGAGAGCAAACCTATTCTCAAGACACAAGATTATGTCAGTTTTTTGAAATCAGAACATTCTGGCCTATATCAATATGTGATTGAAAGGCTTTATTGTATTTTTAGATGGGCCTAGTTAGTTGTGGATAATAATTCAAAAAAATTTCTAGAGCTTATATATAATAAGAGAAGCATCAGCATAATAATAACACCTTACTTCTTGGCAACACTTTTTGCACTGTGAAAATTTCTGTTTTAATGAATATTTCATTTAATCCTTATAATAATCCTGCAGGGAAGGCAGGAGAGAGGTTTTTCTTTTCCTCATTTTGAAAATGAACTCACAGAGAATTTGAATGACTTACCAGAAGTTACTTAGCAAGTTAGTATTAGAACCAGACTGGATTGCGATCTCCTGAGAGAGGTGAGATGTGATCCAACTCCTGTCCTCCAAGGGCCACACATCTGACACATGACTTCCCTTGGTGCTCACACAGTGCTGTGAGGTAAGATTGATTATTCCTTTTTATGGATGAGGAAACTGACTGTCAATGAGATAAACCCATTTATGATTACCCAACCACTCAGGCAGCAAAGATGAGTTAAACTTAGATCCATCTTTCTAGCTTGAAAGCTTTGTCCTTTCTCAGGTTCTCTCCATCCCCATGTTCTTCTGCTGTCCGCAATGCCAACTGAAGAAACACCTGTATTACAGCTCTCACACTGCAGAGGATTTTCTTGAAGGGTCTGGGATGCCGGTGAAGCAGAACTGGAATTCAGTGGAGCAGAGCCGGCTATAAGAAGTACCACCAGGTTTAAGTTTGCAGGGGAAGCTGCAGGAAAAGAGGAGTATAAAACATGGTTTATGAATAAATTTAAGAGCTGAGGGGATATGGGACACCCCTGAGATGGTGACCTCTGATCTTGTCTGGATGGGGACAGAAGGGATGTTAGCACTGAGCACTTACCCAGTTGTGTAATTCGGCGCCTGAAAAAGTTTCCTCCTGATCTAGGATCAGCTTAAGCCTCGACGCATGAAATGTGAATACTTTTTGCTCAGCATCCATTAAATAAATGTTATTCTTCTTTCTGGCAGAAAACACAAATTTCTCTGCTCAGAGTTACTGTGTAGCAGAAGGAACAGAATTTACAATATCCCTCTTTATGATAATGTCTCTCACCTTCCAAGGAAATGAGCTGGGAGGGAAGGAGCGCCGCTGAATGTCCAGTGATGAGCTGGCTGGGCTGCCTGCTGCCGCTAATTATCTGGCAGGGAGGGAAGGCTGTGTCCCTGGAATACAGAGAAGGGGCTGTGAACTTCGGAGAACAGGCAAGGCACTTTGGTGTCTGTGTCATGCAAACTGGAGAACAGGACGGCCCTCACCAGGTCGTCTGACCTTTACCTCTTCTTCAGTACTGAGCAGACATTTTTGCCAATTATGATCCCAAATACCCTGAAAAATACCCTTGGTCACTGACGGTTTGCAAGGGAGAAGCAATGCCTCTGGAATAATACTGAGCTCAGGACAAAGAGGAAGGGTAAACAAAGCATTACTTTGTGTTGCAAATAGATGGCTTTGTTAAATACTGGAGAAATCCCTTCGGTGTCCATCTTACACAGCTCTGATAAAAATGCATTTGCAATACGCTCAGTGTCAAGAAATCACATCTTACTGGGCCAAGGAGGTTAAGAGCATCTCTCCATCTACAGAATAAAACTCATTAAAATAGTCTTTCCAGCAAGAAAAGGCCTAGTTTGCTGCTCTCTTCACACCCTCCTCTTTTTTCTTGTAGACTATAATATATTGCAGAGGTAGAGACATGATCAAAATAGCATAATCCACATTTGTATTAAAAATAATAAGCTTAGTAACAATGGGAAAAATTAATGGTAAACAGTATCAGAAAACACAGCAGAGGCGGAAGTTAACAGAACATACTTGACTGGCAGGTGATACATTAAAATGCTATTTTGGCAGACAGAATTGATAGCAGACTTGCTGAAAGAAAATCTGCACTGGGAAGTCGACAAATACAATCGTAATCCCTTTTTTCCTGCCACATGCTGCAGATGAGTGAAGCCCAGAGGAGAAATTCTTATTACAGCAAGTAGGTTGAGTCCAGAGGAAAAATTAAGTCAGGTTGACGATTTACAAATTTCCTTTCAAGCATGAAAGGGGACTGAAACCAGGTTATTTATTTATTTATTTATTTAAAATCCCCACCCTGGTGTTTGGTACTTGTTAATAAGACTGACTGAGAATAGGGGTATAGGAAAAGGTTTATTACCAACCCAGAAGTCATCTCTCAGAAATATAGCCAGAATCAAATAACTTTTGTCACACAAGCAATATTAGGAAATCTAATACTGGGAGAAGGCATTTTCCCTGGTGCCTGGTGAGTATTGACAGACTGGCTGCTTGAGTCTAGTTAAGTCACTTCTGATGGGAATCAGAGGGGGAAAGTACTTGCACAGTTAACTATAGGACTGCTGGTTTAGGCAACAACCTTTGGGGATGTTTCTAGGAGTTGGGGTTTAGTCTCTGATATTTACATGGGCTTTCTATCAATGCTGCATAGCAGGTGTCTGTGCTCATCTAAGGGAAACTCATCTTCAGTGTGTCACCTCTGACTCAATGGAGTGTCACAGACGTGACGGAGTCCAAGCCCCAACATGAGACACATAGAATATGGAGATGGGAGAATAGAGGATAAAGGCATATACAGTCAGGTTGTGGTTGTTTCTGAGAAACAAGGGTGAGCAGGGACCCAAAGTGAAGTTAATTTGAATCACATAGGCTGTGAGATGAGTCAGTGAAAAAACATGGAGGCTGAAGTTCTAGTTTCACTCTTAGGTATTTCTTGTCTCTCTGTTTTTAGTGTTAATTTTATTTGTGATGTAGATGAGTTATTTTTACTAGGGTGAACATAAATCCCTCTCTCCTTGGGTTTCTGTCTAATGTAATGATTAATAGTCCCTCTTTTACTCTCAAAGTGTTCCATTTTGGATAAAAGTTACATGATCACTCTACTTATAGACATTCTGGTGCTCAGTTACCATATTTGAGAATAAAGATACTATTCTAGAAACACACATGGGCATTCCCTGTGTCCCACTGTGTTGAGTATGCCCTTGATCAGTAAGTGTAGTTGATAAGAGTCAAAAATAAGTTGTGGGGCATTAGGGTGAAGCCCTATCCAGGATATTTACCTTTCAGTAGGGGACTTATGAAAATAAAGTTTTTGTAATTCAAAATAGGGAATCTTTAATGTGAAATTATGGGCAACCTCAGCTCATAGCAGCCATTTTGTCTTCTTTGAGAATCACTGAAAGCTGAGCTGGTGGCCTTCAGTGGATATTCAGATCCAAAAATCAGTCATAGGCAGGCTGTATCCAAATAACCTGGTAAGTAAAAGCAAACACATGTTCTTGGAATCTAACCCTCAAGATGGTAGTAAGGCCCCTAACTTAGAATTTCAGAAAGCTCCTTAGGTGTTTCAGACACACAGCCAGCACTGGAGACAGAGCTCTATCCCAGTGCCTTGATTTCACAGAAGCAGGGGCTGAGACCCAGAAAGCAGAGCCCCAGTAATGACTATTTGTTTTCTGCTGTTTACCAAGTGCATCAGTGGACAGTATGTCTTTTAATCCTTATCAGAGTTCCATAGGGTTTGAGATATTAGCCCCATTTGTTAGGGGATAATATGAAACAAAATAAAGGAATGGGCCCAAAGTCACACAGCTAGTTAGTAGCAAATTCAGAATGAGTACTCATGTCTCCCAATTCTCATTCTGGACTAACACAGGTTGTTTGGGAAAAGCTTACATTTCCTTGACTGAAGTACTCAGCTCACTTTTCTTTGTTTTCCAAAGAGATGCACATTTAGGAGGTGGTTGTTTTCTTCCCAGTCTTGTTTTCTATTTTTTTTGATGAACATTTAGTTCTACTCTCCCCTCTCCCTGTGTGGTGTAGGGGGCTGCCTGGCAGAGATGGCGGGAGATGTTTTCATGTGCAATCAAGGACATAGATGCATTGGCTGCCAGCCTCAGGCAGGGACACAGACTTGTCTCCCACTAGCAGAGCGATGATGCGTTTCCCCAGAATGTTCCAAGAATGGCCTGGAATGTGACTAGACATGGTCCATGCGGCCCCATGAATGGCTTCACACTGCACCGGCTAGAAAACAAATACAACAGTAATTCTTGGATTAGCATGAAAACACTTCCAAAGGGGGGCTCAAAGACAGACTTTTGTCCCTTTCATAAAAGAGAAGAGATGAGGTGTGACAAATGGTCTGTTGGATGGCTTTTTGTGCCAGGCAGAGGTCATCTTAGAAGGGCACCACAGACACGATCAGTTTAATAGACAAGAAATGGAATCAAAGCTAAAGGACAAAGAACATTTCAGAAGAGCTGAGGTGATGTCTAAAGAAGACAGTTTAAATTAAAATAGTAAAGGGAGATAGCATGATTTATGTATGTATTCAAAAACACACTGTCTTTTGCATTGACACATAATGCACAGAGAGTCAACGATGTGGGACTTCTGTAGGCAGGAGATGTAGGTATCCCAACCTTCGCCAAAATGCTCTGAAATTCTGGACTTCATTTTGCACCCATAAAATAAGGCTAATAATACCTACTCTGCCTGGTTGCTATGAAAATTAAATAAATAAGATTAGAGGTAGGAGGGCAGGAGGATGTGGATGAGGGAAGAGAACACATGCTGGGGTGCAGGCAACCTGGGCTTGGATTCTTCTTTTGCAGAGATGAGACATATGGGCCAAGCGATTTTGCCTGAATAGCCTTCAAGTTTTTCAAACCTTTTTGGGCATGTCTGTGGAACCAGAATTTAACAAATTACTTCTTAAGCAAAATCCCAATAGATAAAGCAGACAGATGTGGTGCTGCCCTATTGGAAACACTGGTGGGCGGGGAGGAGGTGTTTAGGTACCCCCCACACCTCCATCTCCTTCTCCCATCTTGTCTTCCTTCCATGACTTGGCTGAGACAACTTTTCTGTTCCATTCTCTAGGAATTGTCTATTTCTCAGCTTTGCTGCCTTTCTTGAACTTTCCAGCATGAATTGGGAAGTAATTCTTTCAAAACTACTGAAATTTCAACTGAGTGGCCATATTTCCTCATCTATGTCAATCATACAAACAAGTATGAAAAAGTAGATCCAGGTAAATGAATATCTGCATGACAGAGTTAAATACCTCTGATTGACTTAGTTCTGCTTCCCAGGGAATGGAATTTAAAAAGTGCTCCCAGATTCATTGACGCACAATCATTGTCATTGTCCAAAATGCATATTTATTTATTTACTTGTAGTTGAAAGAGGAGTATAAATTTGAGAATCTGACTAAATCTCATAGTTAAGGAGTCCCTTTGGATTTCGGAGTACCTAAGTGACTATATAGAAGACTAATCCCAATCTGAAGTCAATAGTACCACATAAAAAATAAATGTGATTTTCTGCCTTTCATTTTCATAGCATGGTCTATCACATGTTGCCCTTCTGTTATTTCACATTATGGGCATGTGTGTGTATATGCACCCACACACATGCATGCACATGCACATATATACATTGCCACGGCAAGTTCTCCGCCAGCATCAGGAGTACCAAGACAGAATTAATGAAATCTGAACGAACCTGTCAGAAGTTCTCATGACATCATGTTACTTCAAAAGCATTTCCTTTGTTTCTGCTGTAGGTTCTATATATATCTTAATTTATAGAGATCAGATAAATATTCAAAGCTTTGAAGATAGAGGAGGAGAATTATATATCTGGAGCCATTCCAAGAAAAATAAACAAAGAGCTCCTCCTCTTTGCATTATGTAAAATAAATGTGTCTTAATTCTATGTCATGAGTCCTGATTCTACCATTATTTTACTGTATAATACTGGGTAATTGTTTTGAACCTGTGGCTCAGTCATTCTCATCTATAAAATGGGAATAAATAATGCTTTGTGAGGATCAAATGAAATAATATATATATAAGATTTTGAAAAGTATAAAAATGCTAGTCAAATGTGATATTTATGATTTAAAATACAAAATGTAATCATTGTTCATGCTTGGGTAATATTTTTTATAAATAAAGATATAAAAAGGAGAGCTATTCCTCCTTCTGCTAATAATCAGAGCAGCACAAACTTGTATCTGGCAATAAACAGAGTCATAAATCTTCAGTACAAGTGGGATTTCATTGAAGATATGAGGGTTTACCAGAAGTGGCGTAGAATGTAAGCACACTGCTTTATTGTCCAGTGAGTTCTCTGAGAACTATTCAAAAATTCCTGGTTTTATCAGAAGGAATTTGAGTTAGTAGATTGGATCTATATTCTGCAGCTGTTGCCCTGTGACATCTGGTGGGAAGTTGGGCCTTTCTAGTCTTGAGCTCTGCCAAGCCTCTTCAGGGATATAAGAATAGAAATTTCTCAGCATTGGCACCAAAAAGAAGAAAAACGGATATTTGGAGCTCCCAGATCCAATCCTGCCTTCGAAGTGCCTCCCTTCCCATTGCTCATATTTCTCTTCATTGGAGGAAATCCATCTGATCAGTTCCTTTGCCTTGAATGGTTTCCAACTGAATGTCAATCAGAAAGGAGAAAGCAGGCACCGGGGCAGTGAGGCCAAATCCACCCCAACCACATGGCTGAGGTTGGGAACAAGGTGGCATCTCAAAAGGAAATAAGGATGTTAGTAGGGAGGAGAGTAGCTGCTAGGCAGCTTCAAAAAACAAGCACTTACTCTCTCTGATTCGTCTGATTACAGCAACTCCCACTTGTTTTAGCTATAATGTTTCTGGTGACAGATGAGCTGGGGTTTCTGTCATTGCTCCTGAGAAGCAGCATTGCTCTCATGGTGCATTGGAATGAGTCAGGAGATAGGGGCTCTGATTCTCGCAGGTCATTGATGAGTTGAATGACCTTGGACAGTGTTGTTTTACCTCCCTGGTTCTGGCCTTCCCTTTTCATAAAATGAGTTTGGATATAGAAATCTTTCAAGGTGCCTTCCAGCTCTGCATATGGTAATTATTTTCTATTT